AGTACAAAGTCACCTTTGTTAGGTACACTTTATCTTGATATAGGTAAATAACTCAATATTCAATCAGGTGCACCATAGTATGACTGTCAACAGATAATATTATACTAATTTTAGAAAATATATACATAATATACCTAGTTTTATGAAGATTTTACGAGTTCACCTACTCTATATTTAGGCTATAAATTCGCGTCTAACGAGATTTTGCGAGCAAGAATTGAAGTGGGAGGTGATGAAACAGAGAATCAAAAAGGATTAATGAATTTGGTGAATGATTAAGAAAAATGGGTTCTTGAAGAAGTGAAGAATCATGGGATTATGGTGTTTTGGTTTTGGATTGGAGTATTTATAGAAATCAACTTAAACATGATTGGTGATTTTGGTCTGCCACTTAAACTTTAAATAAGTAGACATACGTCTTCATTCTCCAATTCTGGGTGTGAACAAGTAGGTATATAATGAATAAGTAGACACACACGTCTTTCATGACAAATTGCTATTCTACATGTATTATGTTGCGTAGGAGTATGTGTGTGTCTACTTATTCAATTTTATATAAGTTTAAGTATCTACTTGTAAAATCAAAAGTTGAAGGGTGTAGATGTCAGATAAGACTAAGTTAAACGGCACGTTTATGTATTATGCCAAAATACGTTGATATTTATTGACCTAATAATTTGGCTTACATTAGTTTGCATTGTATCTTTATAATCTTGCATTGGTATACATTGATCCATATTTCCTAATAAATTATATACATTTGTCTGCATTGGGATACATTGATCCGTTTTCACCTAACAAATTTGTATATATATATATGGAATGAAATAATTGGATCCCTAATTAGTTTTTGCTAATACACTCTTCCAAACGATGCATAAGTGAAATAAGGGAAACAAAATAATAGAAGAGAATGAACTTAATAAAGCCCATTACCTAGTAAGAAAGCCCCATTAATCATTGCATCAATAGCCATTTGTAGGACTGTTCTTTCAAACATAATCAGTATTTGCAAAGTATTTAAATTTTAGCCATTGCTTCTTCTTTAGCAGCTTCAATCTTCTCCCATGCTAATCTACTTAATGTAAATTACAAAGCATAAGCGTAAAAATAGAAATTGCTTAAAGGAATTTTTCATACCATTTCGAACCTTCAAAACTCATACGACCTGAAATTTTAATCGTTTACAATAGTTTAATATTTTTTCATAAGAATTTCTCTCAATAGATACTTATGAAGTGTATAATATTTTTAAAAATAATTATTTTTGGCTGCATGATTAATATTCCCAAAAAGGTCCTATTTCCTTTATATGCTTGATAATCACCAAGTTCCTTTAGACAACTATTATGAAAAATCTTTCTTGAAAAAAGAAAAAAAAAATCTTCTTCTTTTAGTGGGTAAAGAATCAAGACAAATTCCATTATTCCATCTATGCATGAAAACAAAGCAAAGTATCTAATGCTGTAAACATAGTCATTATTAAATCTTCTTTTACATAAATTCCAACACTAAAAATTCTTTCGTTAAAAGATATTATAAATGGTCGTTTGGTTGTTGGTTAAGATATGATTTATTTATGTATTAGATTTTGTATAACTTGTATTATAATATACATAATATAAAATATAATAACTAATACATGAATTATCAGCGTTAAATGTGGGCAATTCAAACTCTTTTCAGTGAAAAAATACATTATATATATAATATTTTAATTATCTTTGATGTATATATATAAATTGTTGAATTTTCTTAGCTACTTTGTATGTTTACCTTTTAATATTTTAAACTTCAAATGATGGTCGGTGATTCTTTAGTGAAAATTCTGACATCACATGATTAACTTTTAAAAAAAGTATTAGCTATTGTAATCTAGTATTTATCATTTCCTGCTGGCCATAATGTTGAGCAAGTCAAAATAATTTAATAAACAAAAAAATCAAGAAATATTCTTTGCCTTTATAAAACGTTTTCTAGTCGTTTTGACTCTTATAGAAAGTAAAGTACGTAAGAATTTGGAATATTTACAAAAGGAATCAAATGAAAAAGCTTCTTTTTCTAGTGAATACAGTTTTGGAAGTTTTGGTGGTCTCTTTTTCTTGTTATTTTCTGTCCATCCAAAGTCACATGAGAAATAATTAATATCTTATAAAAAAAAATATTGTCGATGTCAGGTACTCACATTGGAGCTCAACTAAATTTGGATTTGAATTGGAAAGTTTCACATTAGGGTAAAACGTTCCTTAACAAAGGCGACTTCATATTCAGGGGGATTTAAACCCGAGAACTCTGGTTAAGGATGAATGAGTACTTACCACTCCACCACAATCCTTTTTGGTCATATAAAGCTATTAAAGATAAAGATGATTTTTTATTTTATTTTACCTTTAATATTAACTATTTATTTAAAATTATTTTTCAAGTTCACTAAATATTATGCATCAACTAATATAGATATCATTATTAAAATTTGGTTTTTTATTTATGAAGTGTTCAAAATTTATTGTGAACTAGTAAAATTAACAAAGAGAGAGTAAGGACATGTTTGGATCGTCTTATTAAAAGTAACTTATAAGTCAAAAACTAAAATTTTTAGGTAAATTGTACCTTACTTTTGAATTCTGACTTCTTCTTTTTTAAAAAAAATTGATCTAAAAGTAAATGCTTAAAATCACTTTATAACTTTTTCAAATAACTTCAAAATTTAAAAAATATTTAAAAATAAAAAACACATAAAAATAAATTAATCTAAACGAGCGACCAAAGAGAAAATATGAAAGTTTGTTGTGGAAAGTGATGTTTTGGTATTACATTGAAGATTGTGGGGTATATGGTGTAACATTTTACTTGCAATAAAGATGAGGGAATGTTTTTTTTCTTTAATATTGATGAGTATGATAATTTCTTTTCATGATTAAGGTAAATTGTAACGGGCAGAATAATAGAAAGTTATGCTGTCAATTTTATTACTATTATAATTTATCCTTTTTAAAAAAAAATATTTAATAAGTTCTTAAATTTCAACATTGAGCAAAGAGTGTGAAAATTTCTTAGGGAATAAAATTGTATGCATGTCATTTTTTTACATTTTATTTGTAGAATTACATTAAATATGTTGTTGTTATTATTTTAATTTTAATATTTTATGTGGTAAATTTAAGACCACAAAAAAAATTATACATATTTTTAATTTAAGATTATAAGATTCAAGGCTATGGTGATTGATGTACTGACGCATCATATCTAATAAAATGTGTCACGGAGTATGATATATGTCGACGATATAATTTTAATTGACGAGACACATGGTGGAGTTTATGATAGGCTGGGAGTTTAGAGATGGACTTTAGGATAAGTTATGTTGGAATAAGTTATGTTGAGATTAGTTATGATGGGATAAGTTGTGTTGAATTATTTTTTATTGAGTGTTTGGTTTGTTGTATTCAAAATAATAAATTTTAAGAACAATTTATTTGTTTACAGAAATCCCCTTCATTAATGTAAAAAGTGATATAACAAAAAAGTTGAAAGAGACATTTTTGTCATTTACCTATTTTATCCCGGGATTACTATATCACCCAAAGAGAGGGATAACTTATCCCGGTACTAATTATTAATCCCGGGATAAGTTATCCCGAACTTGCCAACCAAACAACAAAATAAGCGGTACTATAATTTAATCCCGGGACTATTTGGTATTATCCCTCACACCAAACGACCCCTTAGAGTCTAACGGGTTCAAATTGAGCAGGACTAAGAGCATGTTTGGACTGACTTTAGTTTTGACTTATAAAATAAAAGTCATAAGTTATGACGACTTTTGGTTAATATATATCATTTAAGCTTAAAACCAGTGCTTATAAGAACTTTTTTAATTTATCCAAACATTTCAAAAGTGCTTAAAAGCACTTAAAATACGTCAGTAAGAATTTGGAGTGCAAGCTCAGTGACGTAACTTACGTGGCAGATCTAGAAGTAAGGATTGACACACAAGACATGGAGGTTGAGAATTAAAATAGAAAATTAATAGTTAATCAAGTATTATCCAGTTCTCTTGTCAGTATTTACAATTTCTTTTGCTTCAATTATCATATTATTTTTTATTGTTACTTGTTCTCTTCTTAGTTATTTTTCAGCAAGACTTTTTCATTATTATATTTGTTCTAAGCACTTAATTTTTATATTCTTACTCAAATTGAGGGTCTTATAAAAAGAACAATCTATTTACCTTCACAAAGCAGAAATAAGACTATTTATACACTACCCTTTCAAACTCTCCTTAAAACTTATATAGGGTATATTGTTATTCTTAAAATTCAAAAATCACTCTTTATTTTCTAAAAATCTCGTGATTGATTGAACTAGGACATCTAAATTAAAACGGAGGAAGTAATATAATCCTATATATATATATATATATATATTTAATTTTTTAAAAAAAAATCCTATATATGACTTTAGGTTTTAGTGTAACGTACAAGCAAGATTTAACTTTAAAAGTAGAAAAATATTAATTTAATTAAATTCTAGACCCCTCCACCCCCCACTCCCCACCCACCACGATCACTCTCCAAAATTGATGGAAGCAACGCGTTTAGAGTTGAAATAATTTATTTACCATTTCACGCGTTTTTTTTTTGGGGGGGTGGGATCAACATTCAAAAATTAATATTCCTACCGCTCCATTTTACGTGACACACTTTTCTTTTTAGTTCGTCCCAAAAAAAATATTATCTTATTATGAATTTTAAACTACCATTTACCCTTAAAAATTGTTTTCGATCATAAATTTCAAAAGTTTTTTTTTCTTTAATATACCGATGACAAATCAAGCTGTGTCACATAAAATGAGACGGAGAAAATATACTAATGATAATAAATATAAAAGTTAAAGCAAAATCACCAAACAAACGCGTTATATTTTCTCTTTACATAATTTAATTTCATTTTACAAAACTACTCAAAAACAACTTAAGAAGCCATTTTTTTCATTTTTCTGTTCCATTGAAATCTGTCAAAGAATCAAGAAAATGTTGACAATTAGCCTTCTCTTCTTAGCATTTCTCTTCATTCTTGGTTTAATCACAACCCTTTTCAATTTTCCCACTAAAAAGTTTCAATCTTGGATCTTTTCCCTCTCTGTTAAACCTCAAACCCTAACCCCAATAACCCCTTCTGTCAATAAAGATTCAATCTTGGTTGAAAAAAAGAGCTCAAAAGTTGAGTTAAGGGGTATTTTTGCAACATTTGACAAGAACAATGATGGGTATATAACAAAACAAGAATTGAAACAATCACTTAAGAATATTGGGATTTTTATGGAAGATGGAGATATTCTTGAAATGGTTGAAAAAGTTGATTCTAATAAAGATGGATTGATTGATATTGATGAGTTTTATGAACTTTGTCATAGTTTTTTGGGAATTGAGAAAGTTGTTAGTGAAGAAGAGGGGGGAGTGGAGAAAGGGGAAGAGGAAGAGGGGGATTTGAAAGATGCTTTTGATGTGTTTGATTATGATAAAGATGGATTGATATCTGAGGAAGAATTGAGTAAAGTTCTTTCATCTTTGGGGTTAAATCAAGGTAAGAGATTAGATGATTGTAAAGAAATGATTAGGAATGTTGATGTTGATGGTGATGGAATGGTGAATTTTGATGAATTCAAGAAGATGATGAGAAATGGTGGAAAGCTTATTCCAAATTCTTAGAAGGGGAAATTCCATTATGCAGCAGTGTTCTCACTTATTCTTCAGCGTGACTTGAACACGTCTTTTTTCCATTCCAACCCAGCATAATTAATAGTGTTTTCACTTATCCTCTAGATTGACTTTGATCCCTCAATCTTAGTGTTTTCACTTACCCTCCAACACGACTCGTACCCTCAACCCTTAGTGTTTTCACTTATCCTCCAGCATGACTTGAACTCTCAATTTATGTGATATTTCTTCTTTTTTTCCATCCCAACCCAAGAATGATCAAAAGTATTTTCATTTATCCTCCAACGTGACTCGAATCATTTGGTCTTAGTGTATTCACTTGCTCTTCAGCATGACTTGAATCCTTTGGTCTTAGTGTTTTCATTTGCTCTTCAGCGTGACCGGAAACCTTTGAACTTAGTGTTTTCACTTGCTCTTCAACATGACTCTGTCAATCTTAATGTTTTCACTTACCCTCTAGCGTGATTTGAACCCTCAACCTAGATATTGGTCGATGATGAAGGTGATCAACTACTTGAGCAAGGTTCACTTTTCTAATCTTCAAGATTGTACAAATAGGAAAAAGAACTTGCATTGAGTGGATTGTGTATAGTTAGTTACTTTTTCTTTAGTTTCTCGTAGAATTTGCTTAAGTTTAAGATTGGATCTAGGTCTAGTTAAGTCAACTAAGATTATTTGTTTTTTTTTTCTCTTTAACTAGTTGGATTAGAGAAAACCACACTTGTGGTTCTGTATTTGATCAGATTGTGTTGTTTTCAGAGCAGACAAGTTTTATGGTTGTACTGACACACTATATGTTTGTTTATTAATTGACTTGTTTTTTTTTTTTGCTTATGGTACTTGTTAATTCATGTTCAAGTAAAGATCTTTATTTTAGAAAGAAAAAAAATCATATTGTAGATCTTGATACTTGCAACATTTCATATGCAATTGTAGAATAGACAAGTGCTAAGGTTTTGCCATGGCTATTAATTTGTTGCTATAAAAATATTAGCATAACATTTTGACAAATGACTTGAACCATGATGATAATTTGGTTTTACTATATGTTGTTTCTAGTAGTTTTGTTACTTTTTTTTCTAAGCTGAGTTCTTACTTGAAACAACTTCTCTATCTTTGTAATAATACGGACAAGGACTTAGACTGACTATATTATTATTGTTGTGATAAAAATTTGATCAAAGAAGATGACTTTGTATATATTTAATTTTCCAACTCTTTAACGGCACTATAAAAAGAAAACCAGAAGAAGTCTCATAACTAAAAGTTTGGTAAAACCAAAAATACTCAAACGGTATCACCAAAAGTTATGGTGCAGTGAATGAAGTTATTCCTTCTTTAATCAGAGATCTCGAGTTCGAGTTGTGGGTATGAAAAAAAATCCTTAGTAGGAGACATTTCCCTAGTCAAGCTCCAATGCAGGTAGTTAACAATGGATGATTTCAGCATAACGGTAACCATTATGTTGAAAATTGAGGAGTGTTTGTCTTTATTTCACCTGAGACTTTAAAGGTAGACTTTGAAAATACTTGGTTCTCAATTGAGGTAATTGGGTGGCATATCATATAAATTCTAGACAAAGTCTAGTCTCACAAGTTGATGACTTGCAACCACAAAACATTTGACTTATTAATATGATTGTGACATTTCAAAGTCTCTCTGTGTCTTCACAAAGTCATCTCAACTTTTTAATGACATGAAATTGTAGTTGCCGTATGATAAAGGGTCAAAAGCCTCTAGAGAAACCTAGTCCAATTTGACAAATCATTTATCATGCAAATTATCTCACCAGAATTTATGTGTTATATAGCGAAACACTATAAGAGCAGTGATTGGTGCCTCGGGTGTCGGAGTTGAAATGGTCAAGGCCCAAGAGGTAGGAATTGAAGGTGTTGTATGGGTGGAGAAGATACGGTAAACATAGAATGTCATTTATAGAAATTGTTTTCCCTACTTTCATTAGAAATTTAGTCTACCAAACATGAAAAAAATAAGAAAACATGTTTGAGTTGGTGTTAATGTGGATATGGAGTAACAAACACAATAATGATGGTTTAAAAAAAGAGTTTGAGTTGGTGTTAATGTGGATCTCAAATCTAGGAACACCCACACACGATAAAGAAATCTAAACCACTTGTAACTATAATTAATTGGGGCGATATTCCAACTACTAAAATTTTAAAACAAAGCACAAATTTTGAAGGACACAAAGTTTTTAGGTAAAGTAGAACATCTATCCTTAAACTTGTCAGTAAATTTTATTATTAAAGCACTCAAATTATTTTTGCTTTGATTGAACACCTAAAAACGTAATGAAGTGTTCCTATTACACACTTTCAATTAAAAAACTGTGTATTCTTGAGCACTCATTACGTAATTAAGTTAACCACTTAAATGTGTCATATCCTCCAAGTATTTACATTAGCCTTCACAAATTGTTAAGCCTCATGCTTGTTTAAATTGAAGCTAATGTTTATAATCAAAGGAGGTAGCATAATTTATGTAATTAACTTATAGTAATAGACGCTTGAGAATACACACAAAAACTTGGTAAGTTTTAAGGGGGGGAAAAGAAGGTGGATATGTTCCGCAGAGGACAACTACAACTGGGACCTTAAAGGAGTTGGAGCTAGGAGGTCATTTCAACTACCTAACATATGCAACAGAACATAATATCTCGCTTGTATAATTACACTGGGTATATTGTTGTTGTTGTTGCAACAAAGCCGAATATATCGAATTAAAACATAATCTAACAGAATGCTAATTATAAGTCAAATAGTTTCTTATCACTAATAAAAGACCAGAAAAGTATAAACTCAATTGTCTAATTTGAAGTACCAACAGAAAAGCAAGTAAAACCATGTCTAATTACTTACTTTGATACTATAGCTACCCTTTGGCTTATAACAGCACCAGGTGGCTTCAACAAGAAAACACATATTCTGGCCAAGTATCATCCCAAAAATTATGTGTTGCTTATAGCTATGGTAGGACATGACTATTGCTATCCTATCCATTAATGAGGACATAATACACATTAAAAGACATCGGGATGGAAACGCCCGGGGATAGAGTTCCCTTGTTGCGCCTGCTTGAGATGCATCGTCAGCGCATAGTTATTGACCTGATCACAACAGAAAAGGGCAATCACTTTGTCATACATGAGAAATGGCATGAGGGAACTGAAGACTTTCACACTTCAAACATTTATATGCGGCATCTAAATACATATGAGTACAACTATCTCTTTAACAATAAAGTTTCTATGTTGGAAAGACAGAGATCGCGGCGGCGGGGGGCCAGGTAGGGGTAAGGTTCCAAACCCCTTTGGCAGAAAATTACTATATACATACAAGGGGTTAAACTTATTTTTTATATATATTAGTACATGCTGAATCCCTTTGGCTTCTTTGTGTACTTACTTGCCTGTTGATATTTTTGAATCACACTAATGAAAATCCTGGTCCCGCCACTGAGGGGGATGTTCATTTTACCTCTTTCTATAGTTTGAAGCATGCTTGACAACCAGATTTTAGTCCTCATATCTCTTTTCTAATTTTTATCTTTGTTCCCATATAGTATAAAACATGTAATAAATTTGAAGAGGGTAATCTGACCTCAAGCGTTCTCAGCTGCTCCTGATACTGAGCCACCATCTGCTTCAGCTGATTCACCTCATTCCCTCTATCTTCAAACTCTTTCTGACGCTCATGTTGAACAGCAAATGCTCGCTTCAAAATATTATTCTCTTGTAGAAGATCTTCTACCTGCTGCTTGAGCATTATGTGTTCCTGAATAATTACATAACAATAAATGTATAGATATTTCACCTTGAGGAAGCGTAACTATAGATGTAGAGATATGGAATAACACTTCTTTTTCAGAAATGGCAAGTCTTTTGATGTCAAAAGCCAACACTAAGAAAGTAAGAGTACCATCTTTTAAGTCCACAAAATTTAAAGAGAATGAGGTAGAGGTGGCCTACCAAAATAAGATCATTAGCCTGGAATAACAGTGCATCTACATCCCCAATCCTCACAAACACTGATATTTGGGGCTTGCTTGTTGGGGTGAGGGGAAAGGAGGGGAGAAGAGTAGCCATAAGGAAAGAACACTACTGATCTATACTAATAGCTAGACCATCAAACATTAATTCCTTGACCATTGAATTTTTTTTATTTTTTTTTAAGAAAGGTAACAGAACCATCTAAACATCAATTGATGTTTTGCTTTACATTCTGCATAAAACACTACTTGAATCTCATTGTGTGTCTGCTTTCCATATTTTTATGCAACAATTGATGTTGCTTCTCAACATCTACATCCTATTGAGGACCTCCAAAAAAACCGTGCCCATATCAAGTGAGAGACTGATGAAGCAAATAAAACAACAGATTACACCAGCCGAACCCAGTCATCAATGGCATGACAGTAAAAATAGAAAAACAAAGAAGAAAACAGAGAGCAAAGTGTTCTCAGACGAGATAAAGTCAAACAGTTCTGAACTACCTGCTGGAAATTTCGAGCTGCTGCCTCTGTTGCACGGGCACAAATGGACTTCTCAAAGGCCTCAAGAGCTAGTGAAGCACGGGCTTTAGCATCATCTATATTTGAGGCACTCGTCATCTCTCTAACAAACAGCTCCACCCATTCAGTACGCTCCATCATGTACAGTTCTTTTGCTGCAGATGAGCATGGTGTGGGCCCACCATTACCTGCACCAAAATGTGTAAGGGGACTACCAGTATAAAGAGACCCTGTGCTAGTGAACTTCAAAAACATCCCACAAATGTACTGATACACCAAAAGAAAAATGGTAAAAGTATCAACAGAAAGTGAGCTCAGGGACATCACTCATCATTTCAGTAAAAGCATGTAATAAGGCAACACCGGTCACAGTTTTATTTCATTGTAGCAGCGGGTTAACTTCAGAACTTTTCAGGTCCCCCATCTTTCTCAACAGGGTCTCGAAGCACAAAATAAGTAGTGGAACATCCATGGCCTCAGCTCACTCAATTG